TTTACCATTTAACCCAAACACTTCACAGGTAATAATTAATTAATTTCTCATATAATTAACTCGTCTTTTTAACTTCAAGATTGATAATGGGAATTTTTCTTTTCTGTAGAAAATTTTTAGATGGGTTTTGATCTTTTCGTGTTCTTTCGTATCTTTCAGATGGAAATGTTATTCTGCTCAACCATAGTCGGGTTGCCTTTCCTAGTTCCACCAATGGTCTTAACGGGAGAAGTTTTCAAAGCATGGAATTCATGCTATGAAGTAAGTCCTTGTTACTTAATAAAACATTGCAAGATTAAATTAACCATTAAAAAGTTGATCTTTATATTACATTTGTTGTTAAATTTACAGCATCCTTATGTATATGGGATCTTAGTGATTGAAGCTGTGGCCACTTTTGTGGGTCAAGTATCTGTTCTATCACTCGTTGCTCTTTTTGGGGCTGCTACAACTGCTATGGTGATTGTAACTCCATTTTCAATTCGATCATAACAAAAATGATTGATTTATGTGATGATATATATAATAATTAATGATCAAACAATATATTTTCAGGTAACGACTGCAAGAAAGGCGGTGACTTTATTGCTATCGTATATGATATTTACAAAACCATTAACCGAACAACATGTGTCAGGGCTAATACTGATAGCCATGGGTGTGATCTTGAAGATGTTGCCACATCATAATGTTCAACGGCTGCATACGAATGTGAAATTACACCTCAAGGGTAAAAAGAGTGCCGATCTCGAAGAAAACAGGCCTCTGGTGTAACACGGTCAACGTTTTGACTTTTGATCTTTTGAAGCTGATTGGTTGATCAGTCGTATATTATGTAATGATGATGATGAATTGATGATGGAGATTGGAGAAGGTTTATGAATTATGATGGCTTTAGGCTTTAGCAGTTTAGTAGTTGAATCTTGGATTGGGCCTTCATTTGTGTCGTTTTGGGCCTTATATTGAAGCAAGCGATTATCTTCATTATCCCTTAATGACTTTAGCTGATCTTGAATATGTTGCCATGAGCCCATGAGGTTAAATATGTAGAGTTTTTCTTAGAAACTATTTTACACATATGTAAGAGTTGAATCATTTTGGAATAACATAGCTTTCACATGTTTGGCTTGGTACAAAGTTAATGAAACTATAAAAGTATTATAATATGGACCAATGTCTAAAATGCTATTTAATAAGATTAAAGAAGATATCGATCACAAACAAATAAGAAAATGTTATATTTTCTTGGACGATTTTAAGATGGTAGTTTTTAAAATTAGAGTATAATATTTTTATGATATGTAACCAGGGTTGGAATATACAAGTTGATTTGGTTGATTAGGGAATGATGTTTACCTTTTCAGGTTAGATTTTCTTTAAGTTTGGTTTTTTCAATTTAACCATAAACGTTTATATTTTCATATTTTAATGACATGAAATAAACTAGGGGTATTTTGTCATTTATGGGTTTTCGGTAAAAATTACATCAAACTAAAGTTAAATAATCTTCTTTCTTGTTCATATAAATTTAAGTAAATTGTAAAATTGGTTCATGTTGGTAACTAAAAAATGAAGTTTGAATTAATTTTTTGTATTTGCATAGTGAGTCCAAAATTAAAACTTTTATGTCAGATTTAGTGTCCCAAAAAGTGCAGATTTGGATCATCAAGTTAACAGTCATATAAATAAAAGGACCCAAACTGTACATTTTGGTATACTACATTGACCAAATTTGCATGGAAATTCCAATTTTTGACTAACCAAGTAACCATAGGAAGAAAAAAATGAACGAGAACGAAATTTTATAACTTACTCTATAAATAAAAAGCAGTCTTTGTAACATACATATTTGTATATCAACTTGAATAACTTACAAATGATATATTACATTGAATAACTTACAAATGATATATTACATGTTTAGTATTAGTATTGTTTAAAGGCTTAAAATCATACTAAAGGTATAGTGTTTAATAGGGTAAAGGGAGACCTGACAAGCGTGTCGTGTCGTGTCGGGTTCGTGTCGCGTCAAGACAAAACGGGTTGAAAGGGCTTGACCCTAACCCGACCCGTTTAATTATCGTGTTGTGCCGTGTCAACCCCAAAGTCGGTCCTGAAAAATGAAATATTCTTAAAGGCCAAGGACGAATAAGAAAAAAATGGCCCTTATCTTTATTATAATTTTGTATTTTTAAATAAAAATATATAATGAAAAATTTTGGGCCCTGTACAGCTGTCCACTTTGTCCCACTCTAAGCCCCCCATCGTCAACTCGTTTATTTTTGTGTTGGTTTTGTGTCGGGTTTCGGATTAAGGTTTAGGCCTTGTAAATATGTTGTGTCATGTCAGGTTGAAATATTTTAAAGGTTGGAAAGTAAGAGTTGCGGAAGAAAAAAGAAAAAAGTGAAACACTGGAGTTTGAGATGGAGTGACAAAATTTATAGTAAGTTTAGAAGGAAAAATGAAAAGAGTTAAAGTTGGGAGCAAAAGTAATAGGTGGTGAGAATGACTAAAATTAACTAACTTTGAAAATTTGAAAATGTTTAAAAATAGTCTTTGAACTCTTTTCATATTTATTTGACATAAATCAGTAAGTTTTAAGTATATTTTATGTTAAAAGTGAATAGCTAGCACAAAATTTAAAATTACAAATGAGTTTAATCTACTAAAATCAAATTAATGATGATTAATTAGTTAAAATTTGAAGAGTTGTTTAAGTTTCAAATCAATATGATATAAGAAATCAATAATGAAAATAAATTTTATGTTGGATTTGAAGAGTTGGAATTAAAATTAAAATTAAAAATGAGTTTAATTACTAAAATTGAAATTGAAAATAATTAATTAGTTAGAAGTTAATGGGTTGTATATGTTTCAAATCAATAAAAGAGTTTAGTGTACTAAAAATTTAATTAATGATAATTAAGTAATTGGAAGCTAAAAAGTTAATATGTTTCAAATCAATTTGTATGTGAAATCAATAACTTAAATATGTATTTTATGTGAAAATTGAAAAGGAGACACTTTCTTTATAATTACAAATGAGTTTAATGTATGCAAACTAAATTAATGGTAGTTAATTAGTTGGAAATTAATGAGTTGTATAGTTAAAATTCATATCATAGTTTTGAAATATATGTTGGTAAATTATGTGTGCAAATATTAATGTTTTCTATAATTATTTATTTAGATAATCAAAATTTATCAAATGTTTAAACAAAAAATATTAATATTAATATTTTAGATAATTGAAACTCACTCAAAACTATCTTCAACCATTGGTTTTGTTATAACTAGTTATCTAATTTTAACTATTTATCTTAAATAATACAAACACTCATTAAAACTTTTATAAATCCAAACACCATTTACTATTTTTGTTTTGTTATAACATAAATCCAAACACTATTTATATATATATATATATATATATATATATATATATATATATATATATATATATATATAACACCAAACAAACATTAAAAATAGTTTTATAAAGTTATAATTTTTAACTAAAAAATTACTTTTGTAAAGTATAGTATATAACTTAAATAAACATTGTTAATACAATAACCAACTTTGAGTTATTTATATTTTTTTAGGATGTATAGATCCAACTTAAAGTTCATTTTGGATATATAAAAATATGATTGAGGTAAATGAAAAAAAAAAAAAAAAAAAAAAAAAAAAAAAAAAAAAAAAAAAAAAAACGTTTTACAATACCTATTTTTCGGTTGATTTTTATTAACTATGTTGTTTCGAATTTAGGTTGAAAAATTAATCAAAATTATCTTCCAAAACATTATAATTTTGATTATATGAAATCGAAAAACATGAAAACATGAACATATAACATTAGCAACAATTCATAAACACATTGCATTAACTCTTAGGGCAAGAATGTTTTTAAGAAACCAAGATAGATATATAAATATTATGATTGAGGTAAATGAAAAACATTTTACATTACATATTTTTGGTTGATCTTCATAAAATATGCATCTTCGAATTTAACTTGAACGATTAATTAAAATTTCCTTTCAAA